ATTCGTGCACGATTACGAAAGCACTAAAAAAACAAGAGTATTGACCATAAGAGTTTGGTGACAAGCTGTATTGACATTAAAGTATAAAATGCAGAATATAAGAAAACCAGTTGATGGGATTATGGAACATGGACATAGGACGTATATTATCGAGTGGCAACCCACCATGATGTCACCCAGTTGATTGTGAGCTGACGTTGAGAAGCTTCGGGGTCGGCATTTTGTCTGCCGCCATCTTCCTTGCAAGAACACTGCACGCCCGCCTTCACCCTGGACCTGCACCCATTGGATGGTATTACCTATCAATCATATGGTATCCACGCCCTAATTAGAGTGCCGCTTGAGTCGTAATTTTCTGTCTAAATCCAAATGAGAGTAAACTAACAAAACCTGAGCTGAACCCAACAGACATTCTGTTTCTTGTAGACTTCTATCGAAAATTACATCTTTTTGCCACCAGTGGATGCACCCTCTATTGGTAATCTGAGAGATTACAGGTTTAAGGCACTTAAGCATTGGTTTAATTTCTGGAACTGGAGTCTATGTCCCCTTTTTATAAAGAATCAATGATATCAACTCAAAATCTGTTTCGTATTTAACTTTTGTTTGTACATCATATGTGATACATGTCTTGTGTTATGTCACATTTCACAAAATTAAGAAAACATGTTCTCGTCTTGTAAATGCAAATACAATAATAAAGGTGTTCCGGAGAAAGCAGGTCAATCTCAATGCAACAACAGTCTCTCTATTTGCGAGTGAATGATTTTTAGATTGGAACAAGCAATCGACAAGCTCTTTTGTGCTCCCTCTTTTCTGGACTCTTCTCTTATTTCAGACTGAGCCTTGTGTCAATAAACGCCCTTGTGTAAACATCTAATATTTCCATGCTGACCTGGTTTCTCTATATTGTTTACTCTGCTGCGGCTGACCCACGCTTCTGTGTCCCCTTGTTACACACTATGCTATGAAAACGTGTCTTATGGAAACAGCCAGACATTCTTTACACTGGAAATTAGCCAACAGAGCTGCAAATGGACAATCTGTACTGAATGTATGGACCAGGGTCAGGTCATTCTCCTTCTGTATGATGTATGACAAATATGAATATGAGAGCATGAGGGAGATCTGAGAGTTGTAGCTACCAGACAACCAGGACATCAGAGCCCGAGCTGCACCACAACTCAGTTTAATCTCTTATAGCTTCCTGTACCTGTTCCTGTTTTATGATATTGAGAGAATGAGATATTAACTAGCTCTTCCTAAATGGTCGTGGAAATTCCCAACGGCAAAATACTCGAAAACATAATGAGCGGGGGAACCTTTAAGATACAGGAACTATTTATTCAAGCGTGGATCATCGCCGTCTGAGGACTCCAAATGAAATGCATGAAAATGTGCTTCGAGTTCTCTGGGCATATTTAGACATTAGGCAACACATTTTTATCCTGCAAACTGCCAGGACCGGTAACTTTTTTTTAATGTCCTGCAAATTAATCAAAATCGAAATGTGGATTTTTTTATGATACGCTCTTCAGGCTTCCTTCCTTATTTGTCTCTATGATCAAACATTGTTATCTAAATGTCACGTTGCCGCCCAGAGTGCTAAACTGGATTGGCAACAAGAGTTGTCATCACGATTCAAATGAATGTTTGTACAGTGCTCCATTCTACACCAAAATAAAACCCTTTGCTCTTTTCTGTTTGACTAACAACCTGGCACAGACTACACAGTAATTGACAGGCCTTTTTTTATTGTTTGGAGCATGGAGGTAAAAAGAGCTAAAGTCTTGCCCTACTTCTGAGCTGATCACCCAGCAACCCGTGAGTCTTGGCACACATGCACTGTCCAACCTGCCAGTGTGGTTATTGAATGCTGAAAATGAATCCTGGCACCTATTCTTAAAATAACAAAGTGGTTATTTAATTTCACTAAAACAGAAGAAAAAAACATCCGCACTGTCCCGTGATGTATTTCACAATATGCATACAATGTGGACGTCAGCCCAGAAGTAGTTTGGTTTTCTATCATATTATTTGTGGACAAATATACAGTCCAGATGGCATGAAGCATAACACTGTAATTGATGTATAATCAGGATAAACGCACCGTTCACTCAGTTTGTCAGGAAGAAGATCTAGGCCACAGTGTTCTGGCAACTGCAGTGAGGGGAAGCAGTTCAGTATCAATTCAGCCTGTTAGTGCTGAAAAAAGTGAAATCAGCATGAAGAGACAAAAAGTGTAACTTCTCAAGGTGAGATAAGCACTGTCACTGAGACATCAAGTATGAAACAGCATTTATTTCAAATAATACTGGATGGTTAGATGCTGGTGAGTTTCAGTTGGGTGGGTGGGGGAGTGTAGTAATAATCTTTATCCTATGTCGACATTTTATGATTTGTTGTCCCCAAAGACAGAAACTCAGTGTCCTCCCCCACTACAAGTCAATGTAACATCATTAACTCTTGAACCAATCACCAGTCTCATCTGTTTGCTTTATAAGGGGACATGTCTGCTCTTCTTTGTCTTTTACAATTTGTTCCCACTGCTCTCAAGTGGACTTATAAGAAACTAATGTCGACTTTACAAATGCAGCCTGAAAAACTGGTTTAAAAAAAGACTTTTGACATTTTCTTGAGGTTTCTGTAAGAAACTGTGACAGAGCAATGTACAGAATGCTGCAGTTGCAGATACTGCAGGTGGCTCGAAGCCACAAGTCTTAAATGCAATACAATAAAAATACCTGAAATAATTCTGTTTGAGTGCAGTTTTCAAATTCCAGCACAGTCAGTGGGGAAGTGGATGTCGCCTCTTTTGTCTGATCAGTGGAAGCAGCAACTGCAACCAGTGGAATTTCTCCAATTAAATTATCTTGACTATTTACTCATCTCTTCATCCATGTCCTATTTTTCATATTCTGCTTGAGAGGTTCTGTGTGTGGCTCCAGCTTCAGCCATCATTTTACCTTTCAAACTGGTTAATACACAGACAGCTGCAAACATCTGGCTGCTCTGCTGCCAAGTAACACACACATAGTGAGGACTGGGTTTTCTTGGCTGAGTTTGCTTAACCTGCTTGATCTGCAGTGTTTTCTCAGGATTCAGCTTCGTGCAGGGCTTATCTGCTCAGGCCGTCCTCACTATGGAAAATTCCCTGAACCTGAATGTGAGAGAGGGCCTTGGTGGTAAAGGGAGAAAGTGGAAGTTCTATTTTTTTTTTTTTTTTCAAAGTGACTCGGATGGGATTAAGGGAAAAGAAACAATCACTGGTTTTGTCTTTGCTGCTTCATAGAATTCTCAATTAACAAAGCGTGTGATTCGTTTTTTTGTTTCAGGTGTCATCAAAAGTCTGGAGAATCTGTAGCTCAGGATAGGACCTTTCCAGGGGCAGATCCAAAGACGGGGCCAGGAGGCACTGGCCCCAACTGATATCCGATTAGCCCCTGAAGTACCCTGTAGTCTTTTTTTAGATAAACTAGTCTCTTACTAATAATACTAACAAAAAATATGACAGTTTCTTAAGTTCACAATGTGCTTGAACAAGGAACAAATTTCAAAATATATTCAATGATGTGTGGCTTTGCTTAAAGCTAGAGAACTAACACATTTTAAATGTGCACGTTACTAAATCAGGAATTGTGCATAGATGTTTATTGGCCCCTCTGAGTAAATTGTGGCCCCTTTATGGCCCCTGAAAAAGAAAATCCTGGATCCGCCCATGGAACTTGCTCATGTTTTCTCTTTCTCTAACTTTATTGTGCTCACACACGTTCACATTCCTCTAAATGTCCCTGCACACCCTTACGATTGAAACAAAGATAACATTTCACTTATTACACTTGGCCATAAGAAGAGAGGAAACGGCTGTGGACTGTGGCTGTTCTCTCCACATCCATATCAATGAGACAACCCTCTGCAGGAGTTACAGCCCTGCAGCCAGCATGAAAACAGATACTTTTATGATCCAGTTTCCTGATGGATACAAAATGGAAGGATGCTTTACTATAATTCTTCCCTGTACCCGATAAGCGAGGTGAAAGTTAAGTGCTTGGTTTGGCCGAAGCCCTTGGCGGCCTCCTGACAGTCACGTAGAGCCGAGGGTGAGACCTTCTCAATGAAACGTCCACAATGTTTCATTGAGAAGGAAAAAAGATGAAAGATAAATGAAGAAAAAGAGCGGAAACAGAGGAAAATGGAAAAAAACTGCTGAGTTACTTTGTTCCCATGTGGAAAGATTTTAAGTTTGTGTGTGCTGCTGCAACAGTGCACGTTTCTTCAGACCTTCCTAACCTGACATTTGGGTGGTATCCATTTCATCACACGCTATCTTAAGAGGGAGGTACAGGAAAGTGTGTGTGTGTGTGTGTGTGTGTGTGTGTGTGTGTGTGTGTGTGCAGCTTAGCACAGCACAGCACAATACCCACTCCCTAGCCAAAACACAGAGGGTGGGACACACACTGGCTCTGTGGTAAATTTTACATAAAGCACATATCACCGGGGGGGACGTGATTTTAGACACTCACTTGACACGCAGGACGCTTCCCATGTACCCTCGTTTTCCTTAACTGGCACGGTGGCTCACATGAGGCAGGGTGCACCATGAGCTCTTCTGCATGCAAGGTCTGCCACCCACATCAGTCTCCTCTCACTCTGCAGTCATTCATGATCTGATGTTTGCCAAGGAGAGGAGGCATGTTTAAGAGAAGAGGGGTAGGAGGCGGGAGGATGCAAGAAAAAGTTCATCATGAGATGATGAAACAAGCTGCTGAGGACGTCTGTGTTGAAATAATTAAAATATTTCAAAAAGTTTAGATTATTCCTACTATGAATATTTTTTGGACTATTTTAGAAGATTTTTATTAACCCTAGCTCATCTGTCAACCTGTTGGTCACCACTTTGGTCCATGCTGATTTACATCAACTGCTGCTGCATGGTAGCAGCAATTAAATCCAAAGCATCTTCATCGCCTCCTGGTGGCTGGCTGCAGTATTGGCTTTTTTTTTTTTTAAATGCACAATTGTCCAGTATTTTGGTTTACAGTCGAAAAATAAAAGCATTATCATTAGACACAGCTCTAACATTGTATTTAGTGCTACTTAGAGAGATTCAAAAAATTATAAATGTTAAACTACCCAAACATCGGCTTGTTAGCTTTGTGATCGTTTGACAGACATAAGACAGACAGACATTACGACAGAGAGACAGTTCACTCAGCTCACTGACATACCTCATGTCACTCTTCAAACATGTCGGCCAACATGGGACAGTTTGACATTTATTCAATTTCTTGCATCAGCTGGTCAGAAGTTTAAAAAAAAAGAAGAAAAAAGAAAACTCAGTAAAACACTTGAGTACATAATGTAAACACTGCATGATGTAAAAAAACATATTCTACAACAGTGCAGACTTTGACCATGTGTACAAGCATGAAGGACAACACAAGATACCTGAAGGGAACATGGTGTGTTGATGAGGGCCATTAATTTGTCAACAGCAGAGACCCACAAACTTCTGACATCTATCATTACTGACGCTGTGTAACAAATACTCGAGTCACTGCATTCCGCACACAACCATGACATAACCCAGACTTCAAACACATTGAACTACATGTGAGATTTCAGAAGGTACTTTAAGTTGGGCCAACACGTGTGTGTTACAAAACACCTGAACTGATTCCGGCTGAAATGTTTCGTTTTAAAAAAACAGCAACAATATCTTGTTCCTGCAGTTTGTTTCTGGCCTGGGGCTCGTGTTCTCTCTCTTTGTTTACAAGAAGCTTTCTCTTACTTTCTATGGTAGAAAATATTCAGCAAAGACCAAATGATAAAGGTGGAATATAATAACGATCTTACTATAGACTGTATATAAAGATGGAAGACACTTCTCCACTTCCTTCTGCTATCCAGAGAAGAACCAAAAATATCCTGAATACAAACGCTGCCATCCTGGGACATTTGGAGAGTCTGTGCCGAAGCTTTTGGGGGATGAAGCTGCTGTGGCAAAATCATGAGTCAATCTCAGCTGTTAATCATGACATTTCACCCTTTTTTTTAGCATCATATAACTAATTAAAACCAACATAACATACTTTAGTGTGATAAGAACTATTGAAAATGACAGAAATGTATTTGAGATGTATTTTGGATTTTTAGTGTGGTCCAAGGCCTGTTCACTAACATGGAGGAAGCAAGGTTTAAGACCAATACTGCCACCAGGGGGTGGTTAAGAGATTTTTTTTTCTTCAAATGTGTTTTCATTACCAGCTTCACTAATCGGAGAGAGCATGGAAGGAAAAATCTCTTGTTTGATCGATTAGTGTTTGATCGTGACGCACTTAACCTCCGTGAAGAAATGGTAGGAATCCTTCCCTCCCTCCCTCCCCACACCAGAGTTCTTCATCCCTCCAAAGGGTAGGTTCAGATCTCTCACCAGCCAGCAGTTGGTCCAAACTAAACCCGCCTGTATCCGCTTGGCCACACGGTGAACCCTCCCCACATCTCGGGACCACACTGTGGCGGCCAGCCCGTAACGCACGCCGTTGCCCTTGGAGACAGCTTCATCCTCTGTGTCGAAGGGGCTGACGCAGGTGACAGGGCCGAAGATCTCCTCCTGCGTGACGCGAGAGCTCTCAGATATGCCCGAGATGATGGTGGCCGGCATGAAGTAGCCGGATTTGTTTTGCTCGGGCAGGTCCAGCTTGTCGACTCCCTCGCCACAGTGGACGATGCCACCTTCGCATTTCGCGAGCTCTACGAAGCCTCGAACCTGGTAATCAAGACAAAGAGTGATTTCATCTCAAGAGACATGAAACTGCCTTTTCACTGTGTCTAAAACTTCATGCAACCACCTTCTCCAGGTGCTCTTTGCTGATGAGAGCTCCGTTGTTGCTGCTGGGGTCAGAGGGCACGCCGGTCTTCCACTTCTTGGCTGCAGCCACAAATCTTTCCAGGAACTCAGGGTAGATACTCCTCTCTACGTAGATCCTACTGGTGCACAGACAGATTTCTCCCTGAAAGCAGGAGAACGATGACGGAAAATGGATCAGGACAGTGTTTCCATGCCTGTTTCATGACAAAATATGGGCTATAGTGCCACTGTGTGGATAAATAACACCACTGCAGCCTCTTCACAAACAACTATATACTGTAAATTCTTAATCTGTATAACATCCTTCAATTTCATTTAGAATAGGAAGGAGACTGAAAAACTCTTTCTATTTATGTATCACATTCAGAAGACATGTTTATAAAGAGATAAACAATATGTGATATTATTATTACAATAATAGAAAAGGTGATATTGTGTTCTTAAACTCAACTCACCTGGTTGGAGAAGCTGGAGCGAACCGTGGTCTCGATACACTTGTCCAGGTCTGCGTCAGCAAAAATAATGGCCGGGTTTTTACCCCCCAGCTCCAGTGAGAGCTTCTTACAGTAGGGGGCGCTGCGCTCTGTGATGCGCTGGGCGGTTGCTGTGGAGCCAGTGAAGGAGACCAATGGGATGTCAGGATGGCCCACGAGGGCGTCGCCTGCTCTCGGGCCAGTGCCAAACACCATGTTGACGACTCCTGGAGGAACTCCTGCAGAGACAGACACACATTTATTCATCAATTATTCATTTGCTATTACTAACTTATATAGACGAAACTTATGGATATACACATTTTTATATATAGTAATGCTTTAAAGTGACATTTCATTTTGTGAAGAATCAGTTTGGCCTTTTATGCGTGAACAATTTATGTACGTGTGCAGTAATGCATGTGAGAATTCTTCTAACTTCTGTGTGTGTGAGTGGGTTGCTGTTGCATTGTGGGTGTTGGGGTCCTACCAGCCTCCTGCATCAACTTGCACATCATCCAGGCCGTCACAGAGGTCATCTCACTGGGTTTGGCCACCACCGTGTTCCCCATGGCGATCGCCGGGGCAATCTTCCACGTCAGCAGGTACAAGGGGAGGTTCCAGGGGCTTATCAGACCCGCTACACACACAAACACACCCCCACACAATTTTAAAAACACAACTATAACAAGTATCAGGTTGCAATGCAAACACAATGAGCCCTCACCCACTCCAACTGGACAGCGGATGGTGTAGTTGAGGCAGCCCATGTGGTCCATCTGGCTGCAGTCAGTGGTGTGGTGCTGCACTGACGACGCGAAGAAGCGGAAGTTGTGCGCTGATCGGGGGATGTCCACAGTCCGAGCAAACGTTACTGTTTTACCTGTAATAAAAAATAAGACAGTATTTGTTTTACACTTTACTGCAAAGAATTTGACATAAAAAGCATTATGTGTAATGTTCAGGTTATTAAGATTTTTATTGAGGTTTAGCAAGTTATGTGTGATGACTTATCATATTGACTAAACAAGTGTTTGAATACTATAAAGCACCTTGGTCTCTGGACTCAGCTTGGGCAAACTCCTCCAGATGGGAATCGATCAGGTCGGCCAGCTTGTTGAGGATCTGCGCACGCTGCTCCAGGCTGCGGGCGGACCATTCAGGGAAAGCATCTTTAGCTGCCGCCACCGCTGCCTCCACCTGAACAGGGTCATACACTGGGAGATTAGCAAGCTGTGTGACTCTGATTATTATTATTAGGATGAAAGTATTTTTACATATTAACATGTGCTCCTTGTGCCTTTTTATATGAAAAAATACATTTCCACCTTAACTCTGCAGTATACAAATGCCAGTATAAAAAAAGAGATTCAGACAGCCAGGGTTTGTGATGTCACAAACCTAAGAAACCACTCCTGTCGACTTGTGGGCGGGGCTCAGAAGTTGGAAAGGCTCCTGGGGCCTCATTTTTCTGTCTGAAACCGACCACGCTTGAGAAAAAGGTAATCGTGCCCGACCCAAACCTGACACATGTTCGATTTTTTGTGTCTGAACTCCACCTGAGCCTGAGGTATTCCAGCCACTAAACCCAACCTGTACCTGATGGATTCAAACGGATCAAGTATCTACACTCTGGCTCCTACAAAAAAGTTGAGCTGTGAGTGCAGGGGGAGAGCGGGGTGAGAGTGGGGTGAGAGTGGGAGATGGAACAGGGACAGGGACCATTTTGGCACATTCCTTGACCCCATTCACTAAATGAAGATGGTAGTTAAGTTACATTCAGGCTATGAGGGTCACTTTTCATGACAGAGCTAGTTTTAGGGGGTGTAATCATCTGCTGGAGAGGGACTTTAAAGAATGGAGTGTGTTGCACTACACAGCAGACACACCAGGGGGGGAGTGAAAGTGTGCAGAGAAAATGTTTAAATGTTGCTCTCTGATGACACACCGGAAACTTTCAGCTCTTACAACCTCTTAAAAACATAAATTTAAAAAAACTCATTTTGCGTAAAGTCATACAGTATCTCACCTCCACACGCCATGACCTGTGACCTGGGTTCACAAGTACAAGTACACGCACATTCCCTCTATATGCACATACTGAGTGTGTGAGTGTGTGTGTGTGTGTGTGTGTGTGTGTTGAAAAGTTTCCTCCCAACAAACGGTCACACTTACAAAGTTGTACCACCATAAAAACGATAAGGTTTAGTGATGCGTGTGCTTACGTATGAAGTGTTAAAGGTCACAGTCAGTTTCAAATGTGTCATGTCTATGGAGAAGTACAGTGATCTAATTTAGTGGTTTAGACAGAAATTTAGAAAGAGGTGCATCTGCTGCACACTGCATCTGTGTGTGTAGTTTTTTCTGAGCCTGTGCAGGTTTAATGATTTCTAGACTGTCGACTCTGTGAAGGGCAAAGGTGCTTCCCTCAGAACCTGCCTGGAATACCTGAAAGTTACACATAGCACTTTATTGCTGCACGACCTTAGCAAGGGCTGATTTTAACAACAGCTTGCATCATACAAAGCAACCATAGACAACTTAACACAATGTATGACATCATGTGCAACAAATAAGTAAGAGCTACATTTCTGTGAAAAACTGAACAAAACCTCTCAACATAAGTTTTAATTGTATGCTGCATTCTGGGCTACACTCTGCACTTGCATAAACTCATGTCACTATAAATAAAGCAGGTGCATTGTGCAGAATAAGACAAATAAATTCATGTTATCCATGTCCCACCTCCTCCCTGCCACTGTCCGGGACTTTGCAGTACACCTCCCCGGTGGACGGGTCGAAGGAGTCGATGTGGCTCCGACAGGAAACAAACTTCCCTCCGATGAAGTTCTCCAGGACCAGGTGCTGACCCGAGGCTTTCGCCATGACTGACCGCTGAAGCTCACACTTCTGACCGAGCACAAACCAACAGCACAGCACACCGCTGCAGGCACAAAGTCCAGAAGAACAGGAATGTAAAAGGAGAAGTTAACTTGGCCCCTGCACTGAACCTCCCACTTTACATTTCACAGTAACACACACTGGTGCACAGAGGTAATGATTCTCCCAGGGACAAGTACTCATCACTACAGGAAGGATAAAAAGAAGTTCCAAAGCAGCTGTAATACACTAAACTACTTTAAACTACTGACTTTGGTGGCCTGTTTCAAAATCATCTCTAGTTATGTTGGGACGTATACTTTTCATACTTATGTTAAAATGAAGCGATGACCATGGATCCAAAATAAAACTATAAAAAATAATATGACCGTGAAATGACCTTGATGATATACAGTAAATCCAACTTGAACCCATCCTCCCAGCCCGTCGACCCAAGGCCAGGCGCCTCTCTGCTTAAAGACTCTTCCCAATCAAATGTTAAAGAATTAACTTTTAACGGCCAAAAAAAGTATTACTGCTTCTAATTTCATCTGTTCATTATTATAAGCAGAAAGATGTCTGCTTTATTTCCCTGGAATTTCTCCCAAATGTTAAGAATAACATTACGTCATAAAGGTAAAGATAATTTAAAAAAAAAATCCATCCACTAAATGGAATCTGCTCCAAAAGTTAAAGAGTACTTCCCTGACCCGTACCTTATTCTTTCAGTAGTTTTAGGGTAATCCTGCTAAAAGACAAACAAATAACAAATGCATGTGTCCAGTCAGTGTGTGGAAACTGACACAAGTCTGTATGAATGGGATATACAGTATGTGGAAAATATAGATTGTGATTTATGGTATAATTTGGCAGTTTATACCTGAAGCTGTGGCAGTTCAGGCAGCTAATGTGGCAGTTGTAATGTTAGTATGAATATTAAACAGCAGTCAACAGAACCACACACAGCGAGAGGCATCAATGCAGAAACTCGTGTGTGCAAACCACCACATCATAACACTACTTCACACTTAGCTCCATTTGCATTCAGGAAATTAAGAGTTTGCTCTTTATCAGATCTGACACCTACATGAAACATTTGTAGCTGACTGTCACGTAAACGTTATCTAAGTAATGCACAACTGCAAACGCATCCTCAGTCCATTTCATAGACTAAAGATGGACGTGACAAGGTGAAGCCAGAGTGTGGGTGGGTGGCTGTAGTATGGGTCGTACATCTCCTCCACGTTAACAGATAAATTAAATAAAAAATGCATATCATTGGCTTCACTTCTGCAAAGTGGAAGGAAGTGGAGACGCGACATCCATCTTTATGTACAGTCAACATGAATGTGACTTAAACCAATCACTGGGCTTTTAAAGGAATTTCACTGATGGACACACAAGGGACACTTCAACTGCTGAAATCAAAACTCAAACCACAGGTTTCTGATGTCACGTTCATTTCGCATCATCTTTCATGTCCAGTTTAACATGACAACAAACACAAATACAGCTCCTTTGACCTCCCACCTCAGTTCAGCTGAGTTTCTTTGTAAGAAAAAAAAAAGCCCTTCCAACAGCATCTAGCTGCTTTTCTGAAACTCTCCTTTAGAGGAGCATTTAGTATTTATCTTCAGTTCTCATAAATCATGATCCAGAAGGAAATCAAAATGCTTCCCTTTTTTGTTCGCAAACTACTCTACGTCAGTTAGAGTAAACATTTAAATGTGTTGGTAGACCTTGTCCCTTTAGCTATGGAATTTGAAATAAAAACATTTTAATGATTAAAAAAAAAAAATTAGTTTGCCCTCAACTCCCACATGATACACATGACACTCTTTCATTTCTAACTTTAAAATTAATTTCTTTAGGTTGCAGTTTTGATTAGAAGAGCCTTACTGAAAAAGTTGATACTGATTCTTTAACTTTAAATACAGTGAGGGAGAAAGGTGGACTTGTTTTTTAATTACTTAAATATAGCAGAAACACAGCTGATTTATTTCCCCTTATTTCATATCTTTCAGTCAAAATTCATGACAGCTCCTTCAGGGAAACAGTGAAATGAATCACTGTGGAAGTCTCAGCGTGGTCAGATTGTCTTCCAGGGTCTGATCACATTATCGAGATTTGAGAGCAATAAAATTTAGGGGTAGCTGGCTGCGCAGCGTCACTGTGTGAAGACCTCGGGCCTCTCGGTCAGTGTCTGATCGGAGCAGTCGGGTGATGCAGCTCCTGCGCTGGATGGAGAGATGGATGGATCGATGTGATGCTCTGAGTCCACGAGTGACATAACTTTGAGGAATTGCACTTTGTCTCTGGCTGCATGCAGGCTCCAGAGCAAGGCCTGAGCAGCTCTGTGTTCACAGACAAGGCTCTTCATTCTTTGATCTGAAAAATAAAAGACACAATGAGGACACTTGAGCTAAGACGCTAGTGACATCTAGTGTCTGTTCTTGATAATACAAGATACGGTGAACAGTAGTGGTTGACAAATATTACATTTTCCTCAAGAGCCGATGCAAACACCGACATTTGAAAAGTTTTGAAAGTTTTGTGGAGTAACACAAATACAGGAATTTGTTTCGTCTATATCCAACTTTAAGTTGCTCTTTACCTCGGTGACGACCCCTGCAGCAATGGTGGAGCCCACGTATCGCAGCATGAAGCGACCCAGCTCCTTGTAGTCCTTGTACAGCTCTAATGACACCGGCCGCTGGGTCTGGACCTCCACGATGGCGTTCATACCTTTACTCAAACACCTTAACGAGAACAATTCGATTCTTGCTAAGTAACGGTCTGAATAATATGATCGGCTTTTCATATGTAAAAACTGCTGCTTTTCTCATCTTCAGAAGATTTCAATCACAATCTAACCCAGTGACAATACTACAGGAAATTACACGAAGCACAGGAACAAAGCACTTTCACAATTAGAGTTTTATCTATGATTCATTTTCCAGCTTCAATGCAACATTTGTTTTTAACTGGGGAAGAAGACACACCAACTTTCCATAAACACAGTATACATGAAGGGGGATGCTGACATATATATTCATTTCCCCCCCCCCCCCAAACACTCACTTTGGTTTCTTCTTGAGGACTTCACCGCTGCTCTTGTGTAGAACGCTGATTAGTTTCCTAATGGTGGCTGGTTCACTCACTGTCTGGTAATGCAACAACACCTAAACCGAGCAAATACATACACAGCCCCATAATTAACAAACATAGACATACATGTAGTGGTACGAGTGTCAGAGTGTGTTTGCCTGGACTCACTGGGAAGCCTTTTGTGATGGGCACCTCGATATTGAAGAGGAGGATTCGGGCTCTGAATCGAGTACAGACTCGAATCGGCTCCTTGGGATCACAGAACACACAGCCCACGCTGGAAGGAAGCACGCATCAGAACAAATAGCAGATAAATAACATCTAAACAAATTTCATAAGAGTAAGTTTACACTTGTCTGGTAAAGATGTCTTATACAATAATATTAAGTGATGTTATATAACTAGTAGCATTCATCGTAATCATGATTAAACATGAAATAAAGTTATTTTAACAATACTGTCATTTGTCATATGTCACTTGTTTACTTCATCTTGATGATGTCCATGCCGGTGACTGTCAGACTGACATGGTCTCCTGCTGCGGCCCAGTCCAGAGCCTCATCATGCAGAGTAATACCTGTAGTGGAAGTATCACAGTTACTACAGATGTTCACAACTCACTCAGAAAGTGTGCTTGAACCGGACATGAAACATTTATCGTAGCATAGTTCAGTCTATGCTTAATATCCTGCCTAAGGAAATGCACTATAATATACTGCTTTATTTCAAACTCAGATCCATGCAGTATAAATAAACACAAGAGAATAAATGACAAAATGCAGAACACTGTTATAGAAATACACTTTATAAATCCACAGGGATGAAAACTGTTTGTCCTAGTGTTAATCACCTCAACCCAGCATAGCGTTAAAACACTATTTGTTGATTTTATAATTATAATAATAATAACTGTATTTGTATAGTGCTTATCTAAACAATCTTCAAGTGTTTTTACAGTTGTATAAAGTGTGTTGTTGTATATTCTCTTATGTTCTTTAAAGGGTAATTTTTCTTAATCACTGGAGTCACTGTTGCAAGATTTTGGTTATAGAAATGTGTTGTATAGATGCAGATGCTTTAGAAACTTTATTGGCTTCAATAAAGAAAATGCTTTGCCAGCCACATAGAGATTAAAACTGTAGTACCAAAATCAACCACAACAGCAGAAATGGCAGCAAAGACCCACGGGTGTGTGTACCTTTGACTGTGCAGGTTTCATTGGGAGGCATGGCCAGTATTCTGTCCCCAGTCTGAATACAACCTGCCTCAATCTTCCCCGTGACACAGAAGCCTGAACCCTGGTCTGAGGGAGAGAAAGCAACATCAGTTATGACTTTAATTTAAAAGAGAAAAGGGACATGATCAAAATCTTATGCAGTGTGCGTCAGTGACTTTACCTTTGAACACATCTGAGACACACAGTCTGAAGGGTTTGTCTACAGACCTCTGAGGAGCTTTGAATGCATCTGAATAAGAGAGGGAAAAAAAGAGGAAGAAAACTGTGAGAAATGGAGATGCTAGTAAATATTCTGAGAAGCCAAGTGACAGGCTGATGAATCATTTTCACTGGTACAGGATGAATAATTCTATAGTTGTCTTCCCGGTTATGAGTCCAGATGATCAGCACTTTAGCACTTAACCATAAAGTAACTGAAATCATTTTGTTTACAATTATCCACCTCACCCAGTGCCCTGGTGAGTCATTTTTGAAGAATTATACCTGTGGATTGGCTGAAAGAATTGTCTGCAGCATATTTAATGCAAATAAACCTAGTTTAGGCTAAATTATACTTTTTATATTTAATTTCGCTCAATGTGACAGTTTTGTATAAAACCTCAAATTTGTACAGAATCATAAAAATCACTCTTGGGTTGCTCAAAAATGGCAGAATTTCTTTTTCATTTTCCTCGAGAAAACCAAGCGTCAAAAGGGATTAAACGCTTTGGGCAGCGTCATCCATGCCAGTG